TTACAATTTACGCCGATACATGTGACAAACGCGAACAAAAGCACTGATAAAATCTCGTTTCACCTTCGAGATCGCCGTCTCTCGTTTCGCATCAAATTTACGCATCTCGATATCTCGTTAGTCATACGGAGCCCGGTTATCGATGCGTGCATTCCGACCTCTGAAAAGTTCACAAAGTGTCATCCGTTTGCCTCGCCGTGAAATTTCATTTCTATCGAGAGCCATCAACGCACAGGTGCTTGCGCTTTAACGGGCGAAACAGGTTTCGCTGATCCTTTAATTTATATCTCGCGCATGTTACGAAAGCTTAGACAGCGAAATTGCGCGAGGTTGCATACGGACGAAAATATCATGCTTGTAACAAAGTCCCGCGGCCACGCGCGTGTAACGGAGTCTGCACTCGTCTCTCTCCTTCCGTCGAAAACACTAGGAAGAGTGGAATCAGATACAACGCTGCGCTCCCCGAGGCATTGGGTACCGGGAGAAACTCGGCAAACAATTATAACTTCCGGTGGGAAACAGCGGTATATATCGCCGCGGAGCTGCCGGCGCACGTCGTTCCGAAACGTTACATTTATGGTCCCGTTGGTGTTATCGAGCTCTGAATTTCTGGTTTCGAAATTTCCAGTTGCGCCGCGACCGGTTGCGGTCGACCGCCACCCTCGACAACGATTACCTTTCTTAGCGCTGCGCGCGATTCGATCCGTCCCCCGGCACATTCGCTCGGATTCCTCCTCATCTGGCTATACCACTAACGGTGGTCTTCATAGAAATATCATTTCTCCTGACCTTTTGCATTGTTAGTGGGATTTCTTGTTTCACGTCAGCTCGAAGTCGCTATTTTTACTCAAGCTACTGATACGCGAATAATTAACATTTGCATTCCTCATGCTAGCCGCACTGAAATAACAATGTTCAATGATGATCAGATAGGTTTTGAGCTCCGAGAGTTAGGAATTTAATTTCGAATCTCTCATGCTTTTTCCGCGATCTATTTCCGATCGAATGATAATAATAATAATGAGAGAAGTTGTAATATAATTTGTTAATAATGATTCAGAGAAATCCTTAAATAATTATTCGCGAGTAAAACTTTATTCGTTCCATTAATTCCTTATTTGTTGGACAAAATAAAATTCTGCGCTACTTTAATTTCCAGTGAGTTCTTGTGTCTATATTCGACGTTGGTACACACGTAGCGATGTAACGTTCACGCGTAATCCCTTTCGTCGTCGGACCACAAAGTTTTCCCATTTCACGAGGTATGTACACTTTTGTTTTCACCGTGCGGCGAAACAAATTTCCAGGTGCATTTCGAAGCACTGAGCGAACGAACAAGCGAGCGAGTGTTCTCACGAACGAGCTCCATTTGACGAGATGCATTTCGCCGCCGCGTTCTCTCCTCTTGCAAGATGCACTTGCGAAAAATGATCTTTTCGTCGAATTCGTAACAATGGTATAAGATAGACTCACTTTTTTCCCATATAGAACGCATAAATGTTTGAAGCTTAGGAAAAAGTTGTTAGTATAAATGTTGGAAAAAGCAAAATTATATATCGATTGAATGAAATTCGTTAAAAATATAAACGCCAGCTAGCTGAATCTATTTTTAATGATTCCGTGGCATAAATACGTCATAAAGCTCTATTTTTATAACAAGAACACAAAATTAATGGTCAACGGACCATTGTGCTTGAAATAGCAAATTTATAAATATCGACATTCAGACGTTAAAGAGAAAAGCTAAGGCAAGCATTTGTTAACAAATTTATGGAAAACGAATATTATTTAATTAAACAATTAGAATGCACAGTTACATTCTGCATTCACAGAGAATACAATTTACAGAAACGAATGTATTGGCTTTGGGTGTTGGCTTATCAAAATCATCGTTCTAAGTAGGTCAGGCCTGTATATCTACCGGCAATTAATCACCTGTTTGGATCAAACAAAAAATTAGCAGTGCGATCGCGCAGTACTAGTAATACGTCATATGAAACGACAGGCTGATAATCAATTGAGATTGCTATCGGTGAGTGGGTATCAATTTAGAATACTTAATACCCTCCGTTCGAGCGTGCATTTCCGTCTAGCCGATCGCCGGCGCCGAGGTCACGCTACTTTTTCAACGTCATATCGAAATTGGAAAATCTATCGAGAGTAGCCACGGTTACGATTAATCTTCGGCGGCAGTCAGATCGCAAGCTTCTCGATATTTTACTCGTGCGATATGACATTTGGCCGTACCGAGAGAGCACCGTCGGCGGAACGAACGAGCGAGACGGCATTGCGACAAATCGATCATCGAAATACGTTTCTTATCGGGTCCTTCGCCAGGGTCTCCGCAAACTTGAAGGTGAAAAGTTGACCCGCGCGATCCTTCGCGTGAGATTTCGGCCCGAGGTTTCAACGCAACATTACGTTACGACATGTTCCGCGCACAGAAACGGAACTGGTACAAGTGTAAGGCCGCGTGCGGTCACATTAGCAAACGATAAGCGATGACTTGCGAGCTATGAATGGGGAGGTGAGTAAGCATACCTGCTGCCAAACAAAATTCAAACACGCATAATTCAATGAAACTTTATACCGCGTGAGCAGCGGCGTTGCAAGAAACGGTATATCACACAGAATCAATTTTTCATATTGTAATCAGTCATTGTTGCGTTTTTTTAGCGAATTACGAACAAACGCAGATATAGCAATTATGTATCAGAATCTGAATTCAAAATTATACCGATTTCAATCTCAATTTTAAAGTGACTTGAATTATTACGAACGTTATTGTCTCACTATTTTTCATGCATAAAATTTTATTTCTCGCAAATGGGGAAATTTGCCTGTATTTTTCTTTGTAAAATCCTCGCTTGAGATTTTTCGAAGCGAGTCAATGCCAGACGGAAATCCGATGTCCCAAAAATTCATGGCTGTCAAAATATTGCGATGTAACGGGAGCAGTAACGTTCGTTGGGGGCCGTCGTACGGATTTGAGAGCGTCACAATGTCATCCGTGACATCTTGTCAGAAAAGTAAATGGCGAAATCAATTTTCAGATGCGGCCAACTAAAGAGCGAGACAACGTTTTGCAACAACGTTGGTATGTCTGCCGCTGAAGTTTTGTGCTCCGATTTATATCTACGAGAAAATACGATCGTTTTACTTCATGTAGAATAATATATCAGAGATAACTGAAATTTATAAGAGAATTAATAGTAGATGCAATTTGAATTTTGACTCTAGAACTGTATCATTAAAAATTTATCCGCTAATCGTGGCGTTCTTGGCTCGCATGAGTTCTTAAGCATTATTAATGATTTACGAAGTGCAAGAGGAAATGGACATCAAAACACGAAATGACGGTACACATTTATCAGGAGCAATTTATCATGGCTTGTCAACCTGGATAATTCAAAGTAGTTATTAGCTTCTCAAACTCGGTTTCTGGCTTCATTTAAATATCTCACTTCCAATCTGATACTGCTAAAAAGTATGAAAGTGTGAACTGATAATACATTCAAGTACATTTTCGCGTAAAACGCGAACGCGCAGTAATGTAAAAAACGACTTAGATCAAGAAGAACACACTGTTTCTCTTTATAATACAAAAATATTTACATATAATAGATAATCTGCATTATATTAAAAATTGTCACGTTCTCTCTCCGTAAAAACTGTTAATAAAAATAAATTCTTTGTCATTACGAAAGATGCGATCGTAGTAGCTAAAACGCCGAGACTCACGGCCTTATCAGCCGCGCTTTATCCGTCGTGACTGATAAAGAGCTTGCAACCGTAAGACGGCGAAAAAGTCAAATAGGGTCGTATAGCAGATAGCCAGTGAGATAAGGTGGAAGATAAGCGCAAATAAAACAGCGGTTCACAATTGTTTTTATTAATTAATTCACTGTTTCATTAATGCATCGACATGCCGACGAAGGCATGATAAAATAAAAACGATAAATATCGTTTAATTCAAATATTCATAAAAGATAATTGGCACGTGTTAAAGAGTCTTGGTTACTAGGTCGAGAAAATCAATTTCTCGCTATCATCTTCCGAGAAAAAGAAGTAGAACTCTACTGTATATTTTAAAACATAAATCCTCTTAACCTTCTAGCTATAATATGCAAAACAGCTTTCTTAAAATTTCCGATAAAAAAATTAAAACATACCACAGTTACAATGTATTATTGCTTAATTATGTCCATATTAAATCAACATAAAACAACTTCAGTGTTAATCGATTATTCAATTAAAACTTTATTTGTTGTTATTGCGGATATTTCAAAGCACGCTGTTGAATGTGTATACAGCGCTTGCACTTAAAGGAATATCGTATAACAGTATTGCAGCAGAAACAAATAATATAATATACTTTGTGAGAACATAAGCAAAATAATGTGCAGAGATAAAATGAGAGACAAAGAACAGAAGATATTAATCCGATAAAAAATATGACAAAATAATAAGAGTGACATTATTCATTAGAGTATGAATAATATTAAAACATTTGAAAAGATGTGTCACATGACAAATAATTATAAAATCTTTTAAAGAATTATGTAGACTCAACGTGTGATGCGCATTTATAAGAGGCAAAATTGAAAAATTAAAGACTTTGGTTGAAAAAGCTTTAAGATTTTCGCAAAGGGACGGAGAGACGAGATAAAAAGTACGGGAACGAGATGCGCCGTAACGCAGCGGAGAACGCACTGAGGCCAGCTGAGGGAGGGAAGTTTGTCGAGCTCGGTGGGGATGCGTTTACTCTGGCGGGAGGACGCGGGTGGCGTAG